AGTTAACACAAAACAAACAAATTTCAACTGTCCCAACTATAAAAAGGTTGGGTTAAACATTATACAACTGCCACAACTTTTGAAAAGACTGTAACAAATAGTTTTTGTCTGTGACAACGCCGTAAACCACTGCAACAGTCATAAAATGACTGTGGGTTGCAATGTTTGTTTTTTACAAAATGAATTTAGCATGGAACATCTGAAATAAGTGACATAACTGCTCTATGATAAGTGGTATTCAAATATAAAAAATGCAGTACAGACAACGATATAATGGTGTAGGATTGTCATGATGTTGTACAAGCCTGAGTACAATGCGGTTGATTTTGAACTACTACATAACTTTAAATAGATTGTCTATAACAGATGATTCGCGAGTGTGTTACTACTGAATACATATTTTTATATTTATTTTAGGAATCACTAATTTGAGGGATTCATAGCCTTGTATAGTTTATGATTTTTGTAGAATGAGAGACCTTTTGTGTTCAGTTTTTGCTACTCATCTAATTTGTCTTTCTTATATATGTTGTTTAATAAATAATATTAAATATCGTAAACGTTCATTCAAGTATATGTAAAAGAGCAATTACTACAACACATGAATAAATTAATAGTTTTGTCATGTTAATACGTTCTACATGTTGACTTAATGATTATTTCGTTCGCTGTTTCTGTCGTTTCCTTTTTAACTATAATTTAGAATTGCTCCTACATTTGTATGTTATCTTCGTCTTTTTTGAAAACACATGATAACGTACTTTTTATGTTGACTATATCTAACATTGTTTAATTTTTGGTTTGATTAACCATTCATGTTGAAATGATCTGCTTCCTTGTATATTTAATTCTATGGTGTTCTCTTTGTTTTCCCGTATCGTTTAGGCCATTTACAACTCACGGAAAGGGTGAATTTAATTTGTTTCGACATAGGACTAAACCTATAGAGGTATGAAATACATGAATAAATATAGAACAAAATAAATAGCAAAAAATCATTGTAAATAATAATATACTGGAAAAAAGAGTCAGTATGATTTTAACAGCTTATAATAAACTGACAAAATAATTTGTTGATTCATGGTCAGTTATTTTTTAAATGTTAACCTTATAAGCTGCTGTTTATTCACTGTTGTTTTGACAATTCGTTTGCAGTCAATAACATGAATAAGGATATGTTTAAAAACATACTAAATTTTCTCGAGATGTACTGAAAGTACTGGATTGAGTGCGAACCAAATGTCTAAACCGTACTAAATTTACCACAAAAAATATCGGATAAATAACTAAAACTCTTTATAAATCTAATTTATATACTAGAGCGACAAGTGTCATGTTGATCACCGGATTCATTGTTGCTGTCTGTGTTCTTTTATAAAATGTATGTCCACTTTTTAAATGTCATTATGTTACCTTTTGTGCTTGAATCCTTGTCTTATCTTACCGGTCACATGTTCTATCATATTATCAGTTTCTTATCACTTTACCAATTGTTAAAGACGTTTCCAATTACTAGTGATTTCAAACAAAATATTAGTATGCAATGGCGTAGGCTGAAAGTGAGTTAATTACTCAGTAATAAGATATAGATAACTTATTTCTCAGTGAGGTATATGTAGATATAATAGACTTTCAATGCTTCATGTGAACTTACTTTCTTCTAACTAATCACGTTTTTATTTATTTTAAAAAATGGCCGGATAAATGTTAATTGTACCCCTTTAGTATGTATTTTTTTCAATATCAAACATTTCAACACCTTCCCCCTTTTCCCACCCCCTCAATTTATGATCCAGATTTTTATGTGTATCTTGTCAGTTTGTCAGTTTGTTTTTCACAGTACTTACACTACAATGTATATCAATACGTTGTATATTTAAGCTGGGGCTTGTGATGTTAAAAATAGATGGTTTAATTTTGTAATAATGAGAGTAATTAGCTCTAGTAACATGATAATTAGAGTTATTTTGCCTACTGGTGTAATTGATTGTGAAGACAAACTAATGTTTATATATTCATTTTCTTTTATTCATGGATGGATAATAAAACTAAACTTTTATGCGTGGCAAGTTGGCCGAAAATTTTATACCTAGTTAAGTTAATCTAGTGACAGTCCTATCCACCTTTTACACACACAATGTCATTGTCACAATAACTGTTTTTTTTTATTGCTCTCCACATACATTTTTTATTGCTTATCCACATCACCTTTGTCTGTTTCATGAATATATGGAGATCAGAAATGTTTATATATTTTTGCAATTAGCGCAGAGATGTATCTAGAGATTTAGGAGTACCGGCAAATATTACCGATATGTCATCTTGCGTATTGAGAAATTTCAAATGCTGTATTACATGTATTATCAGTTGTAGTTCCCCTAATTTGTTCGTTAAAAAAGGAAATGTTGTATCTTTGCCTTTCAGATAACTTTCAATAAGAGTTCAAATGACGTGGACACATGACTTTTTTTTTTACTTAAATTACAGAATGTATGAACATATCTATATCTTGCTGAGGCTTAATTCATACAACGGCTTTTGAAAAGAACTAAACATTACAGTACACACCAATACATAGTATGATGAATCACCAGCAACCTATATGTCGGACATATTATATTTATGTATGTATTAGTGGTCATACTGACTGGAGTGCAGGTGAAATTTGATATTGCTACCTGTTTAACCAATAAACAGGTGGTCATCGAGGTATTAAATTCACTTCCACAGGTTGAAAATTATGTTTCATAATTTTGTCAACTGTGTCGGTTCTTTTTTCGTCATTGGCTTCTGAATATTTAGCTTTGAGCCTACCTGATGAAGTTAAATCCAGAAAAGCGCGTCGGATGCTTACAATATATAAGTTGGTTTTTGTATTATTTTTTGTACCTGCAAAGTTACCTATCAACCTTCTTTCACAGGTAAACTTTAATCCAGACGTCAGAGCTATTGTGTATTCATGACATACCATTGATATGGTCATATATTTTTTGTGGTTACATATCTCTTTTTCCTGCAAATATGTATTTGATTTTATTTTTATGGCAAGTGATGCATGCATATCAGAGAACGCTTACCAAAAATGACGAACCCGGTCTCTTTTTATTTTATTGGTTTGTGTTGTTTATGTGTTGTGTTGTTTTGTTCTGTTTTTTTGTTATTTTGTTTGTTTGCTTAATTGATATAACAAATATGATCATCGGTAAACAACAGTTGTCTTCATTAACCTGTATTCTTTATTTGCTATCTGTTTGATTGTTTTTCCATGAGTAGAGTTCCCGGAACCCAAAGCCTGTTTATAGCAAGAAGTAGAACGGAAAAATGAAAACTGAAGTTTTGTATTGCTCATGTTACAACAAGTCTGTTATATCGGATATACAAAACGAAGACACTGCAGACTGCACATGGAAGAAAAGCTTACCTTTATGCAAACCCATGAATTGGAAGGACAATAAATGTCGCAATAACGGCAGAACAAAGCGTGAAATTACAGATGATTTTGAATTTGATGTTCCGATTGATGTTGTCAAGTATGAAAAGAGTCCACAGGTGAAACATTTTTTTAGGGAACAATTTACATTTACCATTGCTAATATAATTGTTATACTAATTTCTGTTTTCATTCTCAGACTCCTTTGATATATCTTATCCTGTTACATCTTATCTGAAATATCATTTCTATTTTTTTTGTTAATATCCTTCTTTCAACACATTACCATGCGTTTAAATTATGTGGGTTATTGATGTTATAAAACAGAAAAAAATGATAAGGTTTATATTTAGTTACTTATATTCGAAAATAAAAAAAAAGTCTGAAAAAATCTTCAGAATAAAATCCTTAAGGTGTTTATAAAACCTTTGTCTGACAGATAACAGTATTTATAGTTTTGAAGTTGACCTCACATATTTGGATTTAGGCTGCAACCTTCTTGACTTTCATGCAAACTGCAAACACTGCGAAAATATCCTCATTTTGTGATCTTGTTATAAATATTTAAATTAGAGCAACATAATTGGTTTTTTTTTATATCAATATTCGTAAAATATTTTTTTGGGTAAAGTTTTTTTATCATATATATTTGTCCATAAATATGTGTAAAATTGATATGTTTGGTCAATTTAATAAACTGACAAAACCGACACCAGCAATGAGCTTTGCAAACCAAATTGGTCAGATTAATTACTCTATTTATCTATCAATTGAGAGTATATTGCATTGATATAGTTGGAAAACAAAGGTAAAAATATCATCGGAATAAGTTTTGCAAAATTGTAAAAATAATTTCATCAGTCAAGTTTCACTGACTACAATAGGAAATACAACTGGTAGGGCATTGACATCATCAACATGAATGCGCTAAAAAAAACTTACATTAATATAATCTAACAAAAGGTTTAATATACATCTATTTTAAATTAACTTGAAACCCTACACAAAATGTATCCACAACAATAGCTCAGAAGACTAAGTTGTCATTTATAGATCAATGACATTTCATATTAAACAATTATCATTAGTCCTTTTTTCAGATCTTCGAATGGAAGAATGGTTGGACTGAGCAAAAGGCAGTCAATGCCTGTGAATCATATTTCACAAAAACAAAACTGTTTACACTATGCAGCAAACTAACCCATACTAGTGATGTCGATAAGACGACATGTGTAGCCGATATATTCCCCTATTCGTTTACAGTGTTTAATTGAACCAAATACTGATAAATCATACATATCAAGGTCCGTTACACAACGTGTCCGCTTGAACGCACAATTTCAGACCATCAACCGTGGAGTTAAATCATTTAAATGTGATGCGATATCCAATCAAAATCAACATTGCAAACAAATTTTCATAAGAATCACAAACATTCTTATGGAAACCTGCAACTAGTGTTATCTTCTTATATCTGCTTGTTTTTGAAATATCATGGAATACCTGTTGAGCTCATACAGTCATACTTTAAAAGCGTACTTTAATTATTCTATCTGTTCGATTTAGATATCTGGTTCCGATGTTTTTTATCAGCGTCATTAGATTCAATGAAAGCATCTTGTTTAAATGAAATCAGAATGAATACAACTTTTTGGAAACCAAAACCAAAGCTTCAAACAACTACTGCACGCAACATTCAGCTAGACAGAAAAACACAATCAACCACAACATCAACAACTACAAGCAACTTGGAAATCGACATATCTATTCTGGATATAGCAGAAACAGTTTTAAACAATGATTGTCCGAACGATTGTTCTGAATCAGGGATATGTCAGCAAGGTAAATCCATGGTTTATTTTACAAAAAACAACGCGATTAAGTTTCAAACCGCTATTTAAATAACGTAAAAAAGCAAAAACATATAACAATTGTATCTCCGCTCACAAATTAGAAAACAAAACAAGAGAAAAATGTACATGCATACAAAAAAGACATACATGTACACAAATGTCAGAGAGCGTTCATGTTTAACCATTTTTTATCAACAAGAAAGGAAATGCTATCACGAGAAAAAACCGAACAAAATTGAAACATTTGGTATAAATTGACAGCGAAAACATTAAAAAATACCAAGGAGGAAATAAATCAACTTCAAAACGAATTTTTCGATTAGAGAAATAATCGTATACGTATTTTCACCAATCTCAGTATACATCTAATATGTTATTCCGATATGATGTTCCTCAAACATCAGTGGTAAAATACGAGTAAATTGGTTGTCAGCTTATCTGCAACGTCATGATTTATTACGGTTGTTCTAATCATATTCCCATGTCATCAGCTTTTTATGAGTATGGTTCCCAATCGGTGTAAATTAAGTCATTGAACGATCGACTTTAACTGTGGCGCAAGAACTTAATCAGCGATGGGAAAGTGCACGAATGAGAAAATCGTTAAAAAAATTGGACACATGACCAAACGATGATACGAGCTTGTAAAAAGCCCATAGTTCTAAATAAAAGAAATATTTATTAATTTTGTTCAGTAATCAGTGATAAGTAAACCAATGAATTTGATATAGGTCTAACATATTTATGTGTGGTTTGCATACACAAATCGGAGAAACGAATAGTTGTTGGAGACGATACACATCAACCTCATTAGTTTGACAGTGATTTTTGTGTATAAAAAAGATCGATTTCTCTTTTTCCGACAGAGACACATACACTTATCACATTTTCATGATCGTTTCACTTCATCCAAACTTGTCTACGTATGTGCATGTAACTAATTCAGTTTTCGTCGTCTTGTACGTCGATATCAATTGTGTGTTCAATGAAGAACACAGCTAAAAATTGCTTTCGTCTAGAGCGCTTCTATCCAACAGATTTGTCGTCTTTGTATTATTAGAATTAAAATATTTAAGAGGCTTACATTTATATTGATTGCACGTTCCAAGATAAGGTCACTACAATACATAGGAAAACAAAAGAAAAACAGGATATAAATCGTAAGATTTTTTGTAGAATTTAAATGTAATTATAAGAATTTAATGCCTCTCTTTGCAATTTAATAACGTTGTTAACGCGTTGATTTTGCGCACCTTTTGAGAACCTGTAATAAAAATCTATTTTTTGTTTTTTATAATACTATAATTAAAATAAATGATTAGATACTTTTACATAACGATCCTGCTGTGCGTTATATTATGAGAAAATACAGATTACAACGCAAGGTTAACATATTCATAAATACACGTACTAGTAATTTAAAAAGGAATGTTAAATAATTAGCACAGCAATCGAAAACAAAATTCATAGTAGACAAAAAATAAAGGCAACAGTAGTATACCGCGGTTCAAAAGTCATAAATCGACTGAGAGAAAACAAATCCGGGTTACAAACTAAAACCGAGGGAAAGACATCAGCTATAAGAGGAAAACAACGATACAACAGAAACACTGAATTGCAACAAAAAACAAACGACAATGCAACGCACACAGAAATCAACTATAAGATAACAACTGCCATTTTCCTGACTTGGTACAGGACATTTTAAGAAAAAATGGTGGGTTGAACCTGGTTTTATGGCTAGCCAAACCTCGAGCTTTTATGGCAATGTTAAATATACCACTAAAATGACAACATTACATGACAGGAATACAGTACAAATAAATGCAAGAACATTCAGGACAGAGAAATACACAAATAAACAATACAATAGTACATTTCGACTTACTAACAACAGAATAAAAACGAACACGTAAAACAACCCAAAACAGCACAACAGAACCACGAACTGTCCGCCACGTGACTGTATCAACGCCACATATATCAAATATCCTTTGTTGTGTTAAGTAGCAAAAATAATTTAATCAGTCATTGTAAGAAACCCTTACCGTCATTAAAATTAAAAGAAATACCGTATAGCGGGTTATTTTCGCGGGGTGTTAATTTTCGCTTATTTTGGCGGGCAAGGGGAAATCGCGAAATTAAATTCCGCGAAAATTTATGCATACGTTCGGTACTTTCTAATAGCTAAAGCGTTTTATAAACTATCTATTTTTCCCGTTCGTCGAATCAATAATGGTTTATGTTAATTTAACCAACATAAATGCGAAAGGCGATTGTTCCCAGGCTGTCAGGTGTTAATTAGTTAATTGGTTACATAATAAAATAATTAATAATATTAGAGTGTAAGGTACTATGTCAGGTATTTTATCCTTATTAATTAATGTCAAATTATATAAGAGTCGCAAGTCACTCATGATAATTTTATGATCTAATTAGTACATCAAAGGTCCGGTCAATTTCGTAACTAATCAACCGTAACATTTACCAGAGGTTTGTACACCTATGACAAATATCTAAGTACCGGTGTTCTATTGATTAACTGTATCAAAATATAATCAATAAATATAAAGACGTGATGCAGGTAAAACAATCATTTAACCATAACAATATAGATATTTTTTTATTATAGATCAATATGTGACACTTAAATAAACTATTATTTATCTTATCTCTCTATCTCTTCTCAATTTCTACAACTTTTTAACTGCAACCATTTCAGTATCCGCCAAAATATTTAATAGGGATTAAAGAATCCGCCAAAATAAAAACCGCCAAAATTTTTCGTATACTTTGTTGCCCCTAAATCGCGAAATTTTACACCCGCGAAAATAACCCGCTATACGGTACTTGTCAGCTAGAAACCGGCTGCGTCAAAACGACTACACTTCAACATGGTTTGTGTACAAGGTTTTTATGTGTCATACATGTACATTTGTAAAACTCATCAAGTTTATGATATGCATTCAGTTCCATATTCAAACGTCAAGTACAACTTGATGGTCCGGTAGAAGCGTTTTTGCCTCGCATACAGGAGGTTTTTGGCTCGCACAATGCCTGGGTTAAATAAAAAAAAACTTTTTAAAATTGGTATAAACTGCACTCGCTTAGCACGTGTCATTAGGGAGTGAGAGCAATTACTGGTCGGAAAGGAGTCGGAATAATGTTTCCGGGTAGGACAACACGTCTCCTTGAGGACGAATACCTTGTGAACTAACACGTAACATATGTGGCTGATTGTGTCGGTCTTGTGTAAAGCAGGGTAAATGTTCATAGTATAATAACATGTTATCGTCCTGAATATGCTTTAATTTTCTGTTGGACGTCAAATAGCCTTTCAATATAATCATTAATTTAATGTTGTATTTTTTTTAATTTACGTATCAGTACATTCTAATGAACTCAAAAGTTCAAATTAACCACATTCAAACTTGTAAAAGCATTTGTACTACAAACATATTCTAGGGATTTGTGAATGTGATGATGGATTCGAAGGTGCAGATTGTTCAGTTGACAGACGGAAAGGGCCCGAGGTATTCGGGTTGATTGAGGAATCATTCTGTGATTTATCGAAAAGGCCATGCTCTTTCATCTCAGTGTTTGGAAATCGATTTTATGCATCAGGAAATGTAAAATGTCGCATACTGGAAGCAAAGGTAAATATTCTAGACAAAATTTATTCAGAAAGAAATTCAATTAGTGAATGTATGTGATTGAATATTCTTTCCTCATAAGAAATGTATTGCACCAGACGTATACGTTTCACAATGTCTGCAACCGAATGTTGAACGGTTCACATAATGAAAAATTTAGTGAATTTGGCATTGGAACCATAGGTCATCAAATCCCTTTTTAAAGCCGTTTACAACGCTCAAAATCCTTTGTCGGATAATTGAAGCAAAGGTACGTATATACCATTTAAATAGATATTTAACATCAATTAAAAAACCGATTGCATGTAACGAAATATAAATCACATATTTCACATACATTGTGGTAATGCATGTAATGTATTTCTGGCAGCAACACACTTGCATGTTTCATCCTTGCATTGATTTTGTTAAAAACACAAAAAGGACCATGGTAATACAAATAACTATCAAAACGATTTTTGTAAATCAAACGGGAGCTTTCTGTCTTCAGCTCCGATGTTTTGCTAAAATTTATAATTGCTTGAGACTAAAACATTATGAACAAAGGAATGATTTGACCTAACAACTGTCCATTTTCCATCAATTTGCACGTAGCAACATTCCAGCAGCGTCTGCATATGAAATATATTTACCTCCTAGTTGATTCAGCATTCCAGATAGAGTTTTGCATCCTAGAGGAAAACTATTGAACCAAGGGTTCCAAATGGTAAATATGATTAAATTAAAGTCATACCAGCAAAATTTGTATGAACCAAATGACGAGTCATTGAACATTATGGAATTTCTGTGTCTCCGATGACGACGGATATATTCCAATTGTCGAAACCACTTTTTTCACAGATGTGACACCAACGAATGAGACTTATCACCGATTTTGTTTTCGCATAAGCAAAACGACCGACGTGTGCCACATGTGGAGCAAAAACTGCTTACCCTCCTTGACCACCTGAGATCACCACAGTTTATGACGGTATTCGTGTGGCTTAGTCTTCAGTTCTCTGTAGTGTTTATGGTCTTGTTAATCTGTTCATCGGTTTTTTTTTGTTTTGTGTTTTTTTTTGCCATGGAGTTTACGCTGTTCCTTTGGCATCGTCCTCTTTTTCGAAAGCCGAAGCAAATTTATCGTATTAGCATACTGGATAAACTGACTATTTTGAAAAAATGGTGTATTTTTTTTCAGATCGAACTTAATGAGGTTAAATCAAAAACCTTAAATGTACCAACTGACGGATCGTTGATAACTTTCGCTGAAGTGAAATGTCCGCTAGAACAAATGGATGTCAATAAATCACAAACCTTTCTGGTATTGGATGCGTACATGGTGTCGGTCTCCTTTGATGCAATCAAGTATTCAACAGGTTCTCCAATAATAGTGTATGATTCTACGTGCACGATATGCAAGGACGTAAACGGTACCGTGGACTGTAGAATGAGGGTAAATACAATAGCAAATCTATTATAAGACTATACATGCCAGTTTCAATTTGGTTGTTGTAGTACTTTTGTCGCTTTATCATATGATATTTATTACTTTATATGTATAGTGTAAAAGGTGCAGTGATACATTTATATGAATTAAAAATCTAGCGATATTTAGTATCCAAACCAGTTGTAACCTGCATTAAATTATCTTCAATTGTCCTTTTTTTTTTACAAAACTCAAATCAATTAACTTAGGAAATCACGGAACACAAAGAATATCTATAAATAAGAAATTGTGAGTATCGTGCAGAATCTTTAAATATTACCTCGGATCGTTTTGTTCACATGGCAGTCAAGAATCTGTCCATTGTTCATTTCATTTGTCAGACAGGATTACTTACCTAAATATAAATATAGCTAGTTTTAACTATACAGTTTACATTTTTGGCAAAAAAAAATTTTACGTTTATAGGAAGATGTATGCGTTGTTGAGAGAAAATGCTACACGAAAGAACATGATATGTGCAAAACGTCCACGGAAGCCGAACTTAGTAAGCACACTACCAGTCCAGAAATACTGTACGAACCCAGTAAGCAGACTTTCAGTCCAGAAATACTGTACGAAACCAGTAAGCAGACTACCAGTCCAGACATACTGTCCGAATCCAGTAAGCAAACTACCAGCTCAGAAGTACTGTCCGAAACCAAGAAGCAGGCTATCAGTCCAAAAATACTGTACTTGGGTGTGGCTCTTGGAGGACTTGAAATAGTTGTTGTTCCAACGCTCCTTTTAATAAGAAGGTAATATATCATTTACAAATTAACACGTATACACATGTGGTACAGGAAAATGTCCGAAGTCTCTTATTTAATGAGACCATAAAAATTTGTTATATGTACAGTTTACATAAGGTTAGAAATTGTTAGACATACAATTGATGAATACTTGTGTATTTTTTAACATGCATTAAAATTCAAACAACGATAGCTTCTGCATACGTTCTTTTTAAAAACATGGCTTATATCTTCAGTAAAATTTGATCATCTATGAAACGTAAGGGTAATAAATGTATACATATTTCAACAAATGACATACCGGGTCATGGATAGAAGTTGGTGCTAAGTGTCTACGAATTGTTGTAAAATAAGTTAAACAAAATGAACAAGAGACAAAAGCGAACACGAAAAACCAAATATAAATTTATCGTACAAACTTTGGTTAAAGTTCAGGAATTAGGAGTTAACAGAACGAGTCTTCTGTCTTAGCGATGCACAATAATTGTTTTTGATTCAACATCCAAAATAGATTAATATATATACTGGCATGGTTATGTTTCATATTTATTTATATCGCTTTTTATAATAGAAAATCTCTTGTTTTTCAGGATGTGAAAAACTGCAATTATTCCTCAGAAATGCTTTGCTTCTATTGGCGATTGTGAACTATTATATTCATTTTATAGTTTATTTAGTGTATTATGTTTATCCTTATTTTATTTATTTTGTACTATGAAGGCGATAGTATTTATATCAGGTCCGAAGCTCCACAAGGTGGATTGATGCAATGCAAAATTGTTAACAGTTAAGCATGTTAAGGTAGCTGGGGTGTCTAAATGTTTGAAAATAGATTTTTCTAAACCTGCTGTAAAAGGTACTTTCAAATTTCAATATAAAATATTGGGGTCACGGACCTTGTCTTTTCGTTAAATTAAAATAAAATTAATAAATTCACAGTCATTGTACATGGTTTGTATAGGGGAAACCTAATTTTCCTTATTGAGGGATCATTTAACGATAGAATTTAAATTGCTAAAATTCAATGAGAAAATTACTTTTTATAAAGACTTCCGAAACATCAAATAAAAATAGGAGGCCTTTTTTTCTAGAAAAAAAAAAACCACAAATTATCCTATCAAATTCAATATCAATATCTTAAAATATTTTAAAACTAAACAAACAGTTTTGCAACATGCCAAGAAGGGATGCTCAGAAAAAGACACCCAGTCTACCTTAAGACAATTGATAAACTATCAAAACATAAATCATATAAATTTATTATAATAATATAATAACACTAATTAGTTTATTCAATTGTCTGTAATTATTGTTCAACATTCAAATATTTTTTATTTATTTAAGATATGTGTTTGCACTATTTGATTATTTAAAAAAAAGTGTTTACCCCATACCTTGTCTTTGTAAAAGTTAAATGAGAATCCGCTGACCGTTTCTGTGATATAATTTAAAGTTGTCGTAAATTAATCGAAAAATGAATGAGTCATGAATGTGCTAGCCATTTATATTAAAACATTGAGACGGTAATTGCTCAGCTTTTTACTCAAAAGCTTTATCGCTGAAGAATAATGTCTGCAGGTTTAAATGTTTTGGGAAAAACTGTTTTTAAATATCTATTTTTTTCAAGAAAATGGTACCACGCGTGTCTACGAGTGGATAGCCTTTCATATGGGCAAATTGTATTTGTAAATACAAGTTCTAAGTATTACATTAAACGAACAGAAGATTTAATGACCTCTTAAATAATATAAGTTTGTACTTAAATTTTGATTTAGGGCGCTTTTTATAAATTCTTTATTTATATAAAGCATGCAACCTCCATATCATAATGTATTTGACGTTTATAAATTATAATTGAACATACTGAAACAGAGCGTTTTGCTACATTGCTTGTAAAAATTAACATAAGTAAGTTTTAATTATATCTAGTAACACCATAATATAGTTACAACGAGGAACAGGAATACTGGAAAAGTTCAACATTAAGAAAGGAACTGATATTGATAAAAATGGGCATGTTATAGTTAAATGACAGAATATGAATGGAAACCATCAAAGGTTAATATTGCCATTCAGAAATTAACTGATAAAAAATTACAAGTTGAGGGTGCATGCTGCTTGAGCTATGGGCGTTTTTTTATTAATTTTGATTTGATTGTTATTATTATTATTAGTAGTAGTAGTAGTAGTAGAAGAAGAAGAAGTACTAGTAGTAGTAGTAGTAGTAGTGATTTGATTGTTGTTATTATTATTAGTAGTAGTAATAGTAGTAGTAGTAGTAGTAGTATTGTTTATATAACTAAAAAGGCAAAAGGTCAAGGTCAAGTTGATATGGAAAATGTGTTCGATAGACAGGCGTTCGTATTATTATATGGTATGTGTTTTTCCAATGTTGAAGGTCGTACCATGACCAATAGTTGCTTACATACATGTCAATTGATCTCTGGTAGACAGTTGTCTCATTGGCAATCAAAGCACATCTCTTCATTTTCATATTATCAAATTGTAATTTATGTACTGCTTACTATTTATCTTAATGTATTTTATTAGTACTAAAACATATACTTTTTCCACGTGTTCGTTTATTTTTTAATACAGATTATCTCCATTTATATTCACAATATCATACTTTAAAATACATGATATACATTGTTAAATAATCAACAAGTCCAGAAACTTAACTGCGAAATTCTTACAAATCGTTGTACACTATATGCGTCCTCCTAAAGCTAGATGGAGGATACTAAGGGGTTATGATCGATTCTAACAGTGTTCTCACCATGCAACAGGACGTAATAATTGCTCGAATACCATTTGGAGACTTTATAGCCAAATTATCTATAGTGTTGATTTAAATGTCTATTTCACTGAAAAAGAGAGACAGGAGCTCCATTGTACCAAATTGATATGCAAACACCTAAACTAGTGACAAACTGACAACACCTTAGATAAAATAAACGAAAACCAATCAAAAGGCAAATAACAGTATACAAAACAAAAGGCAGAAAACTAAAGTATTAGTAGCGAGAACACCACGGAACACCGACGGAAATCTCAGGTATTCCGGGACTTTTTTTAAGAATTTTTAAGAATCGATTTCTAATTCACACCGCCCGTAGATGTATTATAATTCTGACGCCCAACTTTAATTGCTGATAAAATTGATTTTAATGATTAAGAAAGAGATTTCACGGAGTAATTAGAAAAACCAAGCAATATAACGTTGCTTGTAAGGACACTTACGTAATTCAGGTATCCAATGCAATGAAGGAAGATCTACTTCTTCATCTTTGGTTTAAATTCCGATTCAATATAAAACAGACCTATAGCATATTACCAGGTCAGTGTGAACTTGAACCTGTTTTTGTAAAAAAAAGTTCGACATGGCCAGAAGCGTCAAGAAGAAAAATTGGTGTCGTGCTATGCATGCATTACCCGCCATTAAAATCCACGATTAGGGAGCTACCATTTGATTTTTATGGAAGGGGGGGGGGGGGGATGCTAGGATGAAAAATGTTGTCCTGCCTTTTTATTTTTCCCTCTATTCGGTCCTGCCTTTTTATTTTTCACTCTATTCGGTCATGCCTTTTTTTTTAGTTTATCCTGACTTTTTTTTTACATAAATTGTCATCCTGCCTTTTTTTTTGCAAATAATCTCATCCTGCCTTTTTTTTACTCAAAACTCCTGTCCTGCCTATTTTTTTTTCAAATGTCATCCTAGCCCCCCCCCCCCCCCCCCCCCCCCCCCATAAAAATCAAATGGTAGCTCCCTTAGTCGAATTTTACAATCGGCAATATGTTTGATTAGTGATTGGTTTCTGGTTGCTTAACGTCCAACGGTAAATATTGCATGCATGTTCAGGACGGCAACACATTCACAATACATACAATAGGTAGGTATACATCACGCACAACATAACGGACGCCCCACTTTGGTAAGGCTTTAACTGCCGGTAGGAAGAATACCAAGAGTGACTTTATTTCTATTTCACAGTCACCCTAGGAAATACGAAACATCTGTAAAAGTAAAAATAGATGACTATACTGATATCTAAAGATCTAAGACCGCGAACATACTTAGCTTTTGAGTTGATATAGCGACACATCGTATCGGTTAATCCATTAGCGATGGTAAAGAAAGTGGTAGTCGACATTTGGAAATGTGAAATAAACACGTTTGTCACAGTTTGAAGACGTCCATCTGTGTCAATATCCAGTAAAAAAAGATCAAGATTTGAAGCAGACTTCACTTTCGGAATAATCTTTTATCTTAAGTTCACCGGAAAATATGAGAGACAAACACTCACTGAAATGAGGGTTATTAAGTGACAGACAATCGTCAATGTATCTGAATGTGAAATTTAAGAACGTTGCAACTGGTTTTTTTTTCTTTCCTTTTAGTCTTTGAAAAAGTTTAGTATGAGTTCTTCTTCATCTGATTGTGCTGATAAGATATATCCATATACATTGGTCAAAAGCTAGAAAAGTACATAAAAGTAGGTTGGTTTCCTTCGTAAAATATTCAGTATGCCTTTGTAATATACAAATATTAAGTGTGTGCTATTTTAATTTCGTAGCGTTGGTTGAGTTTTCATAAGTAATGTTCTGACTAGTTATCTTACATATCAGCTCTCATGCGATTCCTTGCGAAGTATCCACCCAGACCGTTGCTACAGATTATCATGAACTTACATAAACTTCTGACGTTCGGTTCTGAAGAAAACACACATGATGCATATGATTCGTTTCAAGTTTGATATTTGAATTTAAATAATTAGTCCTTTTTGGGGAACTACAGTTTGGCTTTACTTTAGGTTCTTTTTATCAGTTCTTCCATCGTTTTGATAACTTAGGTTTTTGATTTTCAAATATTTCTACCTTGAGCATCACTGAAGAGACATTAATTGTCAAAATGCGCATCTGTTGCATAATTTTTTTAACCGTTAATGTTATTGTACGAGAATTAAATTATAAATCGATATAGAGTTTTAAATCTAATGAATAACCTATTGTAAATAACAAAACCGTGAAAATAATTATATTCATAAAATTATCGGGGGAGGAGGGACATATGTAATTATGTAAAGGAAATGAGCTGCTGGAATAGGTGACTTTTTCCTGTTTCATGATATGATAGGGTCAAGAAATTAAGCTGAAATATACAACAAAGTTGCAAATTAAAACATATGAATCCAAAACTAATCAGATGTTAATTGTTTTAGTCACAGATGCGATTAAAACCACTGTCGAAAATTCATCACAGAGGAGTAGGCCCAGTAAGACCCCTTTTTGGCCCCAAAATATAGCAGTTTTACAAAATTGTTAAAATGTAAATTTTTAGTCATTTATTGAAAAGAAGAATACTTCTGTTACATAAATATGGGCTGTTTTTGACAAAACAATGCACATGTATTGGGTACTAGCATCATTAAGTCATGCTAAATTACTGAAATCTCCGAAATTTTAGCATTTTGGTTAATTTTTAGACGGTTTCCGTCTGAAATGGAAGAGGCCGCATTTGTGTTCATTCTTAATATTTAAATGTAAGTTGTATTTGATGATACTATATAACATATATAAAGGTTGAGAATGAACACGGATGCGGCCACTTTCATTTTTGAAAAAAAAACATCTGAAAAGTGTATTATGGCATATTTGATAGATGTTTCATATTTAAGCTTGAATTTGAGCGTCTTTTATGACTAAATCAGTTCAAATCTTTCACATAAACTAATTGAATCGACTGAATTAGACACTTAAGTGTTTAAAAAGTGTCCAAAATCTTTCATCAGATGAACCTGAATTTTGAGGCAAAAATCGGCCCTTACCGGACCTATTCCTATGTCAAATATATTAATATCTACATGAAAAATCGTAAAATGATAGCCGTGAATGGATATATATTTTCGATATTCAAAATATATGAAAAGGGTGGCGTACTGGATGTCTTAGCAACTCAATCCTACCACAAAAGGCTCGAAGTGCCCCTTTTTTTTCCCCAAGCAATAATAGTATAGTTTATCTAAAATAAATATGTACTGTATAACAAAACACAAGTCTATCAAATAAATTCCCGGATTCATATTTGACAATTCACACACAAGGATAAACCTTTATCTTACCTCCTATACACGTCTAGGCATATGATTCATTGGTTAAAATTGAATACGTTGGAAGCAGATATATTTCATATTAGGTCAGGGGGCCTAAACAAATAAAAACAAAAATGAAAAACCGCCATAACCGTGAACATTTAAGATCAAGCGTGAGA